TTACTCCTTAATTTCCTCTCCCCATCTCTCTCCTTTTTTTAATTGCCACTCTAATGGTAATTAACTCTCCCTCCCTCACTTCCGCATGCTGTCCCTTCCTGTTCCAGCAACTTTCCTCGCTGTCCTGCCTCTCGGAAAGCCACAAGTTGCTGCCCAAAGTGTCCAGCAGCACCACGAGCAAGCCAAATCCTTGCTGACCCTGATTGGGTGCTGTCCAGGGTCTGTCCAAGACCAAAAACTGCTGCTGTCCAGGAATTTGAAGATAGGAATTTGCTGTCCAGACAATTCTGATTGCTGTCCAGAATTCTGGGAAGTCAAAACTGATGTCAAATCCCTCATAGTGGTTATCCAGTCACCCCTAGTCTGTCCAGCAAGCCCAGCAGTTTCCTGCTGTTATCTCGACATCCAGAAGACCTCCAATCGCCAACCAGAAGGTTCCCAAGCCTTGAAAGTTGCTGCCCACTCTCTCAAGCACCTAAACGATCACCTCGGGGCCTCGAATCTACTTCCTTTGGGTAAACTCTTCCCCCGGATCTTTTATCTTCGTAGTGACTCTCAATTGTGGTCTAGTAAATTCATGACGATCATGTTAATGCTTCTCCGCTAAAACCTAGCAATTAGAAGAGTTGTGTGAGGGATCTTTCATAGACTAATCTTATTGTTAGTATTTGAATTTACTGTTGGAACAATCCATATATGCAAAGTAAGATTTATTTGACTATTTAATGATCTCAACCTCTCGCATGTGTTTAGACCAAAGCTATTTTATCACCTTATCATTTTTTATTTTGTCGTTTATCATCAAGAGAAAGCTTATAATTATTGTGCTCTAAAATTTAAGCGTGCAAACTTCCTTAATTTAATCATCCATGCTAATACGTTTCACATCAGAGGTTCACTCATTTTCGAACCCACGAGATGAGACATTAGGGCTCCTTCGTTTCTACGACCGACAAGCGTGCATATGCGGCTGCGAGCGAGTTTCTCCTTCGGCATTTCATCGAAGGAGCAAGAGAGGAAAGGCAGTCAATGCCAAGCAGGCGAGATGAGGCGAGGTGATACAGCGAGGTGATACGCGAGACGAGTGTTCGTTTAGGCAAGACGAACGTCCATTAACGCGAGACGAGACCAGGTGACCATGAGTTTCTTTTCCATCGTCGATTACACAAGATGAGGCCACATACGAAGGTTCGGTTCATTTCTGTTGTCTTCCAATCTTGCCTTATTTAATTTCTTCATGAGGAAAATTCATCAAGGAAATTCACAATTTATATTGTTTTGGTGTTTGATGCCTAGAGTATGACAAATAAATGAATATTTTTTGCTAATTTACTTGAGCAAATTTAGGTTTTGTTCTCTAAATTTTAACAAGAACGGCATTTGAATCTATTTGTGCTTGATTTGGCCTAGCTTGACACATTCTTGATGTAGATGCAATCTCTTTGAATCATTTATATTGATGTTTTTTTATATAATTTTTTTTTTATCATTCACATTGATGTTAGTTTACTAGAAAATAGGATATTAGGGCATCAAATTATAATGTCATGTCTGCGCCATACCCGTATCCTATATTTTTAAAAATTGATGTGTTTCGTATCCGTATTGTGTCGTATCCATGTTGTCGTATCCATATCGGTGCAACATAGATTGATTTTTAATATTTACTAAGCTTAATAGTTGCTAAAGCATAAATCACTATTAAATTAAGAAAGCCATACAGATATTTATATGAAGTTGATGAGTTAAGACCTTGAAGAAATGTAGATCTTCTGCAATTGAAAGGCTGCTTGGAGGCGAATTTTTCTCCATGGGAATGATATGTTGGAACATCTTTATAAATAGCAAGATAATTCAAACGAATGAATTCTTAAAATATAACAAAGAAAAATGTATTGACAATATTCAAACAAGGATTTAGAGAATGTTCAAATACGATTCGGGCATAATTTGAACCCAGGTTCAAACAAGGTTTGAGCCTGCATTTTTGTCCGAACCAAGTTCCTCCATTAGAACCCATATAAGAACCTATTTTTAAACCTCAAATCTAATTGTCAAACCTTAGATTTAAATAAAACTTGACCAAGGTTTAAATGAGGATCAAACAAAGTTTGGCATAATTCGAACTTACATTCGAACCTAATTTGAACACAATTCAAACCTTTTTTAAACTTATATTCGAACCTATTGCCTACATTAGGACTTATATTCATATTTGAGTTTCAAATCTAATGGTTAAACTCTATTTGAACAATGTTCGAACATCAGTTTAATTCAAATGGTCCAACCCTAGGGTTCTAAGCTAGGTTTCAACTCAAACATATAACATGGGATCAAAACCTTATACAAAAACATCAATTCATATCTCATAACATCATCCAAATTTCATTTTCAAACATAAGATTTTAACCTAATATACTAATTTCTTGTTCAAACATAGCTGTCATACCCATCCCCTTTCTTTACCTTCCTACTGTAACCTAATATTTCCATTTCAAATTTTTTAGACTATAATCGAGCAAGAATTTTTAGAACAACGTTATGCTATTTGAATTTGAAAAATCTGAATTCCCTCATTAATCAGAAAAATGACCACATAATTACATAAATTTATATGCACAGCATTTTTAGATCTTAACTGTCCAAATCATATAGAATAAGGCTATTCCAACTATCATACATTGAACAGCTTCAATAATGAAAAAAAAGTGGAGAAAAAACGTAAAACTCTTCTCTTTGATCCCACTATTTCTTTTCCTTATTCTATGCTACTAATAAATTACTAATACTTGCAAATCTGTAATTTAGACAATAAACATTAAGAAGATTCATCTCACAGAGCAACGGGTTTGTAATTGATCAGTGAGTTCCTTAACCATATTTGCTTGTTGTGAAGCACTGAGAAACTCCGATGCCATTATTGCATTAGATATAAGAACCACCATGGAAGGAGTGGAAGCATTTACCTGAAATTGGAGAAATTAAAATAGAAACATAGATTTTAGAAAATAAAAATATTTTCCGGAAAAATGATTATATATATATATATATATATATTATGATTATTATTATTATTGCTGGTGGATATGTTTCATTCGGGCTGCCTAAATGGATAATATCCACAAATCCTCTGCTAGATCTTAAACTACAGGGTTGGTCGAGAAAGAAGAGGATTATTTTAGGCTTTTTGCTCGGAAGTTCCACCATTTTCTAAGGTTGCTTACAACCTTATTAATTGGACACCTCCCCCCCCCTCCTACCTCGGGTCATTTATTTTAGTACCAATTCATCTTTTCTCATTTTTTATGTTACATCATTTTCTTTCTCTAAACCTCCTGCTCATTTACTATTCATGTGGATTTAAATACATTTAACTAAGCATTTGGTAACCATCTTGTGGATGCAGCTACAGAAAAATTGTCCAGATCTTTTGTTGCCAGCATTTTGGTTGAGATTGAGATTACTATGGCTTTTGTTAAAATATTTTTAATTTCTAATGATAAGGGAAGTTTTATGCAGAAGGTTACTCTTAAAGATACGTCTGGCTGGTCATAACACTGAAAATTTTTTATCACCCATCCAAAAATTAAAAATCTTCTATTCAAAATAGTGATACTAATCATATGAGAAATCTTACTCATTTTAACCCAACCAATAATCAAATTATTACCAACTCTGCAACTAGCTTAGTTTTAGAATCCCATCCACTTTATAATATTAATGCTTCCTCACAACCTCCAACAAACCCTTCTCTTGTCAATCCCCCGAATAAGTTTAGTTGAGATTATCCCCCCACCCCCCTCTATTGATATGCGTCCTGGTTTCGAGAGGGATTTTGTGGTTAATCTTCAAGAGGATTGTTAGTCTAATTCTATTGACTATGTGCTTACTGCTAATATTCATCCTAATGATTTAGTTAAAATACGTCCATCAATTCGTGAGCCTTATTATTCTTTTGTCAACAATCATGAGCCTTATTATTCTTTTGTCAACAATCAGGGAGAGGTTGAATGCTCCCGTTGGTAAAATTTTCAATTTTAAAAATATCATTTTGTTGAAAGGATGTGAATTCTCTCTACAATCTTGAGGCTTTGGGATTTTAGATGAAATTAACCCTACTATCATTGTCAGGAGGAGATCCATTGATGACTTGATTAAAAGAACTGTTTAGAGTATTCCTCTTTATTCCCTCCTAAATCCTTTGTCTGATCTTATTATTAACATTCTGATCACTTCCCTTAGCACTAATCCTCTATAGCATTTGTTTGGAGTTACTTCTACTATTTCAGTTGAGATTGATTCACTTGTGGCTGTAAATCCATGTTTGATGATGAAGATAGTCCTACTTCACATGGTAGAAGCGTTCCCTAAGATTTATAATTTGTGCTATACTCTTTTGAGGGTTTCCTTTTATTCATAATTTCTTTAATACAATCATGACCATTATACCTACATCAAATCGATATGAACTTGAATTGAGCTAAATTTTGACTGATCCATCCTAGAGTTGAAGCAAGCCTAATCGATTTTGAATCGATTAAAATTCAAATGCTTACAAAAAAAGTGTTTATGTAAGTGCATAAATGCGTGAAGATACATATGCGTATCTACACTCATACCTATATCAATCGTACCAAGTTAAATTGAACTAATTTCGGATAAGCCAACTTAAATTCAGAGAAAATACATTCCAATTATGTCTTGAATAAAATCTAGGGGCTTTTCGAACAAACTTGAAGTTTTGAACATAATTATCAGCCCTACTCATGCATTTACATCCCCACCAGAAAAAGTATGAAGTTTACCCAAATACGACCATTCAATCCAATGACTATCTTGAAACGCTGCAAGTCAAAGGCTTGCAAAACAGGGCATGTAGGAGTGCTTAATAACCTGGAGAGAAGAAATTCAAAAAAGATTCACTTGCAATTAGAAACTTTAGAAAACGCAAACTCCCATGAAAAAGACAATTGCAACTTAATATGTAGCTTTACATACATTCTTGCCAACCCAGTTGACGAATCAAACATGTACCCTTCTTTCAAGGGACCAAACTGAGCAGCTTTCCCGCTAGCTATAAAACAAAACTTTATTTAAATGCCAAATATTGAAGTGATTCATTGTAATTCATATATCAAAATAGAAATAAATAAGTAAATACAATCGCAATTAGTATTATCAATCAATTATCATGACTAGATTTCTCACAAGAAATTAACAATGCAAAACAACTCTTTTTTGCCAAATCCGCTGAATTTATTACATACTTTTCACATTCAACCATCATCATGTAGGCTAACAAATATCCCAAATTTTTTTTTTCATGTGTCAACAGCCAAATTAAAGATAAAGCATGTAATTTTCACCATCAGAAGATGTTTCGTTTGAAAAAATTGAAGAGAATGTAACAGTATTTACTCAGAATTTCATTTTAGATGATTGGTTACAAAAAGGAATTGAAGAGAATGTAACTGTATTTTACTCATAGTTTCATTTTAGATGATTAATTCCAATTTAATTAAAAGATAATTAAACTACCCTTGAAAATGTGAGCAAATGTAATTTTTCAATAACATTTTTTCACTCAACTCTAATGAAAAATGGAAAGAAAATTTTATGGGCGACATTGCTTTCACTCATATATTCCCTCCTCACTAGAATCAAGAACTTCATTTCGCATACTACTTATTTACATTTCTGTTTCATTTCCTCTCTTTCAATTCCTTCAAACCAAAGAGCCTTAAACTAATTATTTTTAAAGATATCAGAACTTCAGTAACCTAATTCACCATCCATAGAACCACAAATCAAATTAGGAAAGTTCAGCACATAGGAGAATAAAACAGAAAACAGACATGATGCAACGGAGCAAACAAATACGGCAAACTGAAATACACGTTTTAAAACGGATAAAATAGAGAAGAATAGCAATTGAGCAAACTACCTAAATAAAATTAACAAGAAAGGGGTTTCTCAAACAGAAAGAAAACAAGTCGAATTGGAATTAACAACTAAAAAGAAGAAAAAAAAATACAGAAAACAGGGTTGAAAGAAGATAGTGATAACAAGAAGATACTAATAGAGAGCAATGACCAATAGCTAAATAATAATAATAATAATAAATTTAAAAAAAAAAAGAAAAAAAAAACAATGACCAATAGCTCGTGCAACATTGCATTTAGCTTTCAAAAAAGATGAAAATAATTCAAATACTGTAGAAAAAACACAACAACAACAACAACAACAACATCAAGCCTTTGTCCCACTATGGGGTTGGCTACATGAATCCTTTTTAGCCATTGTGCCCTATCAAAAGTCAAATTCTCATTTAAATCTAATAAAGAAAGATCATTTCTAATATTTTTCTGATGAAGTCTTTTTAGGTCTATCTCTACCTATTTTAACATAAGTCAAATCTAATACTTCAACTTTCCTAACCAGGTCATCAGAAGGCCTCCCTTTAATGTGACCAAACCATCTAAGGTGATTCTCTCTAATCTTATCTTTCACTGGAGCTACTCCAACCATTTCACGTATATGCTCATTTCGTATCCTATCTCTAAGGGTAAAGCCACTAATCCACCTAAGCATCCTCATCTCTACAATGCTTAACTTAGTATTATGCTTCTCTTTTAATGGCCAACATTCGGCACCATAAAGCATTGCAGGTCTCACCACCATCTAATAGAATTTTCCCTTAAGTCTGAGGGGGACTTTTCTATCGCACAACAAACCCGATGCATTCCTCCACTTCAACCAACCAACTTGAATTATGTTGATAATATCTCCATCTATTTCACCATCACTCTAAACAATAGATCCAAGATATCTAAAACGTTTACTCTATTTAATAACTTAATCGCCCAAAGTCACAACTTGAATTCTACTGTAGAAAAAACACTAACACGGTAAAATATTAGAAACAAAAATGATCAGAAACTTGTCTGGTAGATTTGATCTTTGGCTAACTAAGCAAGCTAAGGCATAAAAAATTTGCAAAAAATAACTCTTCAAGATTAAGGGTTCAATTAAGAAAGGAGGGGTGACTAAATTGCAATATTGCAATTTGAAAATTTAGAAAGAAAAAAGGAGATGGCCAAGGAAGAGGACAGAGAGATGCAGGAGGGCATCAAGTAAACTATCTAAAACTGCTCCAAAAAATTCTCCCTCTAACTGTACATGGTTGGCCCATATCAAACGGAATATTCCAAAAATTTAGCAATTTTTATGATCATTTTAATTTTATAAGCATTGAGTAAGAATTTTCCTTATCCAATAGCATACACTGATTGCTTGTCATCTTCTTATGATTCTATCATTGATGCTTATAATGTAAGGCTATAAAATCCATGATATAATCATCAAAATTAATTGGAATGTTGTATGTCCCTTCATGTATCTTCCTTGCATTTTTTATTTCCCCAAATTTGTCCCGGCCTCCAAAAGCTAAGCCGCCAAAAGACAAGCTCCCCCCGCAGCCTTAAGGCACAATTCACAATATTAGGGCTCAGATTTCAAGGCTTCTACTCTCTCTCTAAATTTTGGCCTATACCAGGCCCCATCATCTATCATCTACGAGTTGTTGCATACACAGTACCAAAAATCCTAATCAAAATTCTAAAAAAAAAAAAGTTAGACATTCAATTTACTTCATTACACTCCTCTCTTCCTCTCCATCAAAAGCCTAATCTTTAAATTGCAGTAAAACATCTCCCAGAGAAAACTAGAACAACACTTATAAAGCCTTCATCAAGTTATTCCTGTAGTTTCCATAAATCTTATGCATCTGAACCTAAACGAATTGGCATACAAGCATAGCTCCAAGACATATGAAATTTTTTATGGTGTGGATAAGAACAAAAAAGGATAACTTATATGATTTATGAAACCCAAACAGCATGCATTAGAACCAAACTATTTGGAGAGGAGAATTTTGATGTTAGAAGTCTCTTTACAATATCAAAACCGAATTGACCAATATCACTGTTACTATTATTAATAAAGAAGTAGCTTTAGCAACAGCATTGCGAACATAATCATCATTTATCCATGAAATATGAGAGCCTTCATATTGACCGCAGCAAAAAAAAAAAGCATAATCCACTGACAGAAAAAGAAGTAGAAATGAGAGAAGGATAAGAATACCTTTCCCTTTAATGTCAAGGGAAATTAGTGTTGAATTCAATGGCACCATCAAGTAAGATTAATTGACAATTGGTTAGGTTTTGAAAATATATTTCATGGTTATGATTACCATGGCGAAAGTAAAATTGGTTTGAGGTTCTAGAAGTAGACCTTTGTATGCTTTAATATGGTGAAGTTCATAATCTAAAAATTACAATTAGTCAATCATCTCATTTTTTAGACTTTAAAAGCTTGTTAAAAGCACAATTCCACCACATCAAAGATGAAGAGAAAAAGCGGATCATATGACATAATTTGATGCAAGATGATGGGCAACATGTACAAGATTTCACAATGGAATTTAGAAGGTAATTGTCTTGGGAATTTTATTAACTGAGAAATTGATATTCATGAAATATATTGTGAGGCTTCATGAAGCCTCCACTCAGAATTGAAGCTATTTCAATTGTTGATGTTATCAAAATAAGCATAAAAACCATTGCACTCAAAGAAAGAAATTGGTCTCTTTCTATGAGAAAAAATCTCAATTTGCTATTGTCAAAAAGAAAGAGAAGCATAAAGCTCAAGATACTGAAAAGGACCTCAAACCATCAGGTCGATATCATAAAATGGCCAAGCTATAAGCTCAAAGTTTGTTGGAATCTTTATCCACAAAATAAGCCAAAATGAGAGGGAAAAAATAGAAAGCACTTGCTACCTCATCAAATGAAATCATTTAAGTGGAAAAAGTATATCACAAATTGTTGCTATCATTGCACGCACAACACGATAAGGAAGCTCGAGGTTGAATGGGCTTGAAACAGCCTGACCAACTCAAGGCAACTTGCTCAAGACAAGACCACACTTAACTTGGTTTAATCAAAGCCATCATAATATCCAACAAGTAGGAGTGTCTTTCAATGTATGGCTTCATTGTCATTGTTATCACCAACAACCGAAAGATGGGCCCGAATGCCCACACCACTAGTACTGTCCATTAATGATAGTCACAAGCGGCATCTACCATGCCATCATTTGGTCAATTTCATTTCAAAAATGTAGATCTTTAAATTGTTGCACCATCTATACCACACATGCTCATGAGTTGTTTATTTCTAAATATTCCTCACTATGAAAGGAAGAAAGATCATATTTACAATAAAGCTTATTTTTGCCATATTTAATGAGAAATTGACAAATCTTATCAGAAATTGCTCAATCCATTGCACAAACTTTGATTCATCACTGCTATTGTGATCATGTCTTCTTCACCAACCACCATTTGATCACACAAAATCAACTAAATCAATTCAAGTTGGCCAAGCAACAAAAATCCTCTGATTCAAATTTTGCACAGCTTGAAATGATGGAACGAAGGTAATCTTCTCCAACATTCTAAAAGAGCATGAAATTTGGAGTTTCATGAGAAAAAATAAGCCCTCGTGATCTATATGTAGGGCCAATTTAGTTTATTGGAAACAAGTTCTCTATAATTCTTGAAGCTCAAATGTTACGACTCTGCCTGCTAATAATGTGATATTGCTCATTCCTGAAGTCTGATGTTGCTCGCTAAATAAAATGTGTTACCTTCATCAATGATATGTTAATTGTTAATACCATCTAGCTGATGATGCGACGCTATTAGAAGTTGTCACTAACAAAGCAATGTTAATTACACGAGGTTGCATTGTTGATAGTAATGCCACCCATAGAAGTCATCAATCATGCCATCACTCACCCTTACTGAACTTAGATCCAATTTCTGTGGACATAATCACTATGCCTTTGAAGTCATTATCATCAGTTTTTGACCACCTCAATACCAATGCTATACCAATGTTCCTCTGATAACTTTGAGAAGGATAAAGTCTTGTGCTTTTTTACATTGATAATGTGAGTTTATCACTTGTGTTAGGGCCCATGGTTTAGTCTTTATGGGGTTTCCTTGTAAAAAATGTCTCCTTAATTATGCGTATGCTCAAAATTCTAAAGTTAAGATGAGCATAAATCTCTCATACTATCTTACTATCTCGAAAAAAAATACAATATTGTCACAAGGTGGTTACTTTGTTAGCTAAACTATCAAAATTTACGGTCATGAGGGATGTTGCTTTAATAGAAGTTAAGTGTGATAAAGAGTACAACAAGAATCCTTTACTTTTAAATTCGAGAGAAAAGTACATGAGTAAGTATGAGAATCAATTTTTAAGGGTGGAACTCGAACAAAGTTGGGGCAAGGATAAGAAGACAATTTGATTATCGATTATCAAAAGTACCACCATTTGATCAATAGAACTGCAAGGATTGACATTTTCAATTATTGCATAAACAAAGCATTTGATGAGTCCTCTCCTATAGTGAAGATGAAGATGTTGATGCTGAGGTGATGTCCCGAGAAGGTGATCGAGAAGGCAGGGAGAAAGCTTGAGGCAAATTCGTCCTTGCAACATCTGATTAATAATTTCTCTTTTCACTTTTTCCAAAAAGTATTACAAGGTCTATAGGCTGGAGAACATAAGGCCTCGTAATGAATTATCAAGTTTTAGCAACAAGCTGAAGATTTTTGCATTCATCATACAAGGTAATCGTAATTGGTGGAAGATGTACAAGTTCTTATCCAATAATTTCAGCTGGCATGTTCTCATATAATAACTGATGCACCTTTCAATTTCCTCTTGAGTCTAACAATAAACTAATTTGCTTTCCTACTGAGATATTCCAAAGGCTTCATCACATCCTTTAATTAAGTTCAGTGTATTTACAAAAGCCAATAAATAATAATTTCATGCATGTGGTAATGCATAGTCCAACCAGAATCTCTCAGTTCACTATAGAGATTAAACTTTCCCTTAATGGAACCAAAGAAAAAACCAACCAAAAACCCAAAGAAGCAAAATAAATTAGTAAGTGGAAAAAATTAATCAGGTCTCAGCAATAAAAATTAAAAGTAGAACTAATCAATACAATTTAATGTTCATAAATAGATTCGAAACAATAATTACACAACCAAACTGATTTACAATCTATTTTAGTAATTTGCAGGCAAAATTGATGAATACGAGAACAACTAAACAAACAAAAAATAAATAGCATATTACCATCAGTACATGATAACTCTGGATTCGTGCCATGGTTAGCTTTCACAACACGGACATATAGCAGTGAGCCAATCTGGGGCACATTAGTAAACAATGCTATATAGAAATCAGGAAAGTAAATTAGAAAAATTTTTAAACAAATAGTATAATATTCAATCCACGAAACAATATGTAGAACCATATCACAATAAAAAGCTACTTGTCCACAAAGATGTGACGCATTGACATATAAATAAGATAAGTTTTCAATAATCCAACAACAGTATGAAAGAGAAGAGACTGAAGTGTTGTAGGAAGAGTAGTAATACCTCAAGTTTTGGTATATTTTTTTTAGTACCCCCCTCAAACGCAACAACAGGTAAAAGGGCCAAGGATGAACTTTTTATATCCACTAGAAAGTTCTGAAACAACAAAAACGGTAAATCAAATAAAAAACATTTAGACTGTATTTATAGGATTGACTGCAAATAACTCAAATAAGAAAACATGAAAATAAGGAACAAAGGAAACAAAAAAAATTCAATCGATATCACCCTTTTTTAGCGATTGAAAGAAGCAAACCAGTGACGCCAAACGAGTGTTAGGCATTCGGCTGGAAATGCTCTAAAGCACGAATGCATCACATGTCTCTATCAAAAGTGACCTAACAAACTATTTTATGTCTTAACCAAACTATTATCTTCATTCAACCTTATAATCACATTTTGATTGTGCATTCAGATAAGCAGGTGCAAAGAAAAATATAAAGTAATTTACATATATATCAAGGAGAACTTACTTCTGAATTTCGGCCCACAACAATACCAAGAATAGTATCTTCTACAGAGGGATCATACTGCAAGGTCATTGAAATTAAACAAATGTTAGGAATGATGATAAAAGATTGAATGATCAACATAATACACAAAAACAAAAATGAAGTACCAACTAGCTTAAAACTGAATGTCTCATAGGCAAAAACTATAAAAAATGCAAAATCAAATCCCATACAGACACTTTCTGTTTCAAAAAAGGGATTATTTTAGCAAGTAATGTTCTTTTGACTCTGATAACAACTGAAATATTCTTAACTGAGAGAGATTGGACAATTTCACCGGTTTCTTATGAGATTCGGACAGACATGGGTTACTTAATTCTAATGCCACTTGCGCAATCAGATGTTCAAAGAAAAAAAAATCAAAAACTGAGTTCCAATTATCTCATCACTGAAACATTCAAATCACAACATACATCAAAAAAAATTTCATTAAAACACTAACTCTCTTGTGGGAGCTCTCCAGCCAGTATTTGTTTGGTTTCTTGTACCTCAATGTTCCCACTTTCATTGCCAACAGCTCAAAGCAGTCCTACAAATGTGTCAAATTTAAGCATTTCGCTCAAACAATATAAACAAAATTAATGAGTTTAAAAAGCCCTATCCCTAAAATACCTGGCGTAGTCCTGAACCGACCCTCAGGTTTGCGACGCTAGGGAGATCTACAATGATGTCCCCAGGAATCTAGGAATTCATAGAAACCACTTACACGATAAAAAAATGGAATAAAAATGAGATTTTAATAACGAAACCGTAAGAAGCGACAGAAAATAGATAGAAAGCTGGATTCTTGGAAATGAATTGAGAATTCTTACGACGGTCTGGTCGAAAAGGCTTGTCGCCTGCGTAGGAGCGGAGAGCTGGCCGTCCATTTGCTCTTGAGTTACTGCGGTTTTTCGCAAGGCAGATCACCGGCTGTTGGGAGAACCTGCTCATGACCGGATATTTAATAAAATATTATTTTAAATTAAGCCCGTTAAAAATATATAAAATATTATTTTAAATTAAACGTGTCAAAAGCGTAGGTAAAGCGCACGTAAAGGCCAGTCAAAAGCGCAAGTAAAGCGTAGGTAAAACGCAGCAAAACGCACCTAAAGTGCAGTCAAAGCGCACCTAAAGCGCAGTCAAAAGCGCAGGTGATTCGGCAAGTTTTTATTGGATGCCCGAACCTATTCTCCACACCCGGTGAGCGGATGTAATAATTTACCCGAAGAAAGGGTGTTTTTCATAGCACATTCGCAGCTAACCGAATATTGGGTAGACAATGTACTTTACCTCAAATTTATGGCTTGGAGGCTCAATAAAAATCCAGTCTAAAATTAATATAATGCATTTAAAATATTTGAAATTATTTAAATAAAAATAAAAAATATAAACACAAGGTCGGCATGTCCAGAGCAATGGAACTAGCTAAAATCGACACTCATATTAATTGGGATCATCAACTGGCAAAAATTTATTTTTTATGTCCACACGAATCGAGGTAGTGTTGGCATGCACGAACGACGATAACATGACTAATGAGTCAATGCAAGATTTAAAAAATTTATTAATTTTATATTTGAAATTATTCACAAATAATAATAAAAAAATCCCTAAAATATATAGCCACTATGTACATTAAATAAAGAGCGAGATAATATTGAAAATATCTTTTAACATTTATAGAATAAGAGTCTTCATTAGTACTCAACATGCATTTTACTTCATCAATTCAAAACAAGAGAATTGGCTAGACATAGAATGAATAACAAGCAAACTCATTGTCATTAAACTCATGGAAGAATAAAAATATAAGAGAGTGATATCACTAGAAAGGATCAAAGTATCTCTTCTACACTCCTTCCTTTAACTCTCAGAGTTGCTTTAAGAAGCACGTGTTAAATATTTCAAATGATTGTATCTTCTACTTTTTTAGCCTCTCTTAGATTTTACTCTAAGAGGAAACTAGAGAAGTACTCTAGAAAGTACAAAATTTTACACAAGTTGACTAAACTTCCTTATAAACATAACATCACAACTATTTATAGAAAAATAAAAAAAGGCATCTGGCATTGTGGTGCTTAAAAGAATGGCACGGTGGCACACCTGAAGTGAACTTGATGATCTAATAGAAAACTTGATGTTCATCTCTTATAGAAATAATAGTATCACCAAAGTTTTATTAGTTTTTCTAGAGAAACATAATTATGCTTGCACTCATCATATCATAATAAACATCATGATGAAGCTCAAAATTTATTATTATCATGACGAATATATCTCTTGTGTGAATTTGCTCATATAAGAAACCAATCCCTAAAGATATATTTGTGACAATATCACAGCTCTACATTTAGTTGTAGGATAACTTTTAATAAAGATCAATAATATTTATCATTAATGTAAATATAGACTACATACCTTTTTAAGCTTATAACTTTAAAAATGTTTTGATCAGTGAAAATCTTGTACTTGTGCCTTTTAAGATTTTTAGATTAATAAAAATTATAAATTTTGAGGTTTGTGTATTCTACGATTTTTTAAGAGTAAAAATCTTACACTCTAAGCCTTTTGAAATTCTTAATTGAGTCGTAGAAATCATGTACGTTCTAAGATTTATGCCTTCTAAACATTTGAATCAAAGAAATGATATACTTTATGCATCGTATGTCTTCTAAAACTTTTGGAAGTATAAAAAACTTTTACCTTCTTAGGTTTAAACCTTTTGAGATTTTTGTATAAAAAAAATAAGTACCTTCTGAGATTTATGCCATTTAAAATTTTTAGATTATAAAAGTCTTATATGTTTTCTTAGACTTCTACGTTTTGATATTTCTAGATGGATGAAAATCATATACCTTTTGAGATTTTTGCATTTTGAGATTTTTAGATAAAAGAATATATAAGGGTATCTATATTTGACTAGACTCGAAAATTTGACCCGAAAATTTCGGGTTTGGGTTAACCCGAACCTGAACCAGGTCGGGTTTGGGTTAGGGATTTCGACCCGTTTGTAAAACCGGGTCAGTTTCGGGTTGATCCGAAAACCCAAAAGCAACCCAATTTGACCTGTTTTTAATTAATTTATGAGGGTTTTAAAAGATTGTTATGAAATAAGTAAAAGATATTTCTAAAAAATAATAAACATTATTACCCAAATTAAATTAATCTTGGTTTATTTTAACTTGATTGAAGTAAATCTTATCTTAATTTGATTTAGGTTTAAATAAATTAAATTAAATAAAAAAAAATTTGTAAAACATACTCGAAGTGGATCATGTTCGGGTTGACTTGGACCCGAAGCGAGTCGGGTTCGAAAACCGACCCATTTGCAAAAATGAGTCTGGTTCGGGTTGGGTCGAGTCGGTTCCAAAAATTAAATCATCAGTTTCTGGTTGGACCCAAACCCGACCCATGACATGATTTTAACAGCCCTAACAATATATATATATATCAATTGCTCACATTAAGATTTCCTAGTGATGAATTAATTTAGTAATAGCTTCCCATCAAGGCTTTCTCACCGACATTTTCTCTAAATTCTTAGAATGGAAACCCAATCTACATCTTGCACATAAGTGATTTTTTTAGAAAGGATCCTATGCAATACTAGCATATAATTAATTTTTTCTTGTTAAAGTGGCTTCCATAGATTTTTTAGTTAAGACCCTATATACCACTTGCCCTAACAGGTCTTCTTAATGAGGACACTATAATATTAGCTTCCCATAAAGGCTTGCTTAATAGTGTACCTTTATAAGGATTATAAGTGGAGACCCTATCTACTACTTGCCCAGAGGGGTGCTTTTAGTAAGGGTTGGTCCAACACTTACTTCCCATTGTAGCTATCTTTCCAACAAGCCTTCTAAGGATTTGACTTTCCATTTTGTTGTTTAAGTGTGCTACCTAAACTATCAATTATTGTATGGTTTAAGAAGGGTTTTAAAAAATTTCATATGTGCAAGAAGACTAAGAAAGATGTTGTCGGTACGGTTACCTAAGATGTATAGAAAAAAATATAGGGGGGAGAATTTATCTGATTATAGTTGTGCCCAAAATTTTAATTTGAACACCTTTTGATGATGCAACCACATTTTTCCTTAGTTTTGACATCCACTACTTATTCCCTATCGAGCGACTAGTGATACACTACATTTTGAGTCTTAGAACTTGCCGACATCTTGAAACAAAACTAAAGGAAACAAAAATTCATTAACCATTTGCCCTATTCATGGGGAATTGGGGCTGAGGCAAGAGATCTTTTGTTATGAACTTGAATGCATATAAACATATCTTTTTTTTTTTTTTTTTTTTTTTTTTTTTTTTTTTTTTTTTTTTTTTTTTGCAGGAATAGTGTTTCATCAACTCAAGCCAAAATTATAATGTCATTTTCCAGCATTAGACAAGAATGAGTAAGTATCCAAACACATATATTTATCCATAAAACATCTCAATAAAATGGTAAATGACAAACATAGATAATAAAAGCAATATTTATTTCATGTCTTTTATTACAGCCATTTACACTTACACTCACTGAAAAGGCTTTCTTGCCAAACAAAGGCTTAGAGATAAAAGAGTACATGGTTAATGACTGGATTAAAAAATGTATACATCTGGATTAAAAAAGGCATAAGCCGCAGGCAAGTTGGCCAAGAAAAAACTACTATAAAAAAGGTGCAAACCATTCAAACAAATACAGATGAACCTAAAGAGATGAAACATAAAAAAACATTTTGTTCTTTCAAATGAAATCATAAGAAATTATCATATTTGATTGAGTTGTTTTTCTGAGGTGCGAAGCAATGAAAAAGGCAGATTAAAGAAAAAATTTCTTCTTTCAAAAACTTTGACTTCTCCTCACTCCAAAATCTTTCCTTACATTCTCCAATTAAATGAGAATACAAGGAATTATACTTTCATACAATATCTTCATTTCATTCTATTTGCTACGCACCTTTTTTTCTAAATGCTCTATTTTCCAGTGGAATACCTAACTGTCTATGAGAGTAGCTCTGATAAGTAGAGTATAATTAGAAGAGAAATCTCAACTCCCATTTCATGCTACTTGTCACATGACATCTCTTATTCAAAGAAGTATCTTTCCAAAAAATACATCAAGATAACTTTATTTGCTCCAATTCTAGAATATAAACATCTCAATCATATTGGGAAACCTTAGAGAGAAGAATGACCACTCTGAGCCACTTGAGAAGGTGTATCGGCTCCTCAACCCTCTTAGTTAAAGAATCAGTCAGACATTAATCTTAGCCCTGCTTAACTGATACTACCACTGAGAAGGAGCAATATGCAAGACAATTCCCTGCAACACTCTATCGACCATTCTTTATGCTCTTCCCAACAGAGCATATGTAACAGCAGTTCTGTACATATCGTCCAGGCCGATCGAGGATCATCCTGGGACGATCAGTTCAGATTTTGTTCCAGATTCTGTACAGAAGATACAGGTTAATTTTCCTGTATGGATCGTCCAGGCCGATATGGGATCGTCCCGGGACGATCAGAGCATGGCACAAGTCAGAGAGAAGGGGTTTTTGAAAATTAATTATCTTCCTGGATCGTCCTACGAAATCATCCCAGGACGATGTGATTTTGGTCAAATCGTCCAGGACGATCGTGAGATCGGCCAGGCCGATCAGAAGGTTATTTAGCTGAAATCAGCTCATTTTGAAGAGAGAGAAAATCAAAATAAATATCTGAAATATTTTGAGGAGAGAGAAGGTCGAGGGCAAAATTGGAAAAGTTGATTTTTGGGCGACGCCTGGCCGTTTTCGTCCGTTGTGACAGTTCAGGAAATTGGTGTACGCAAGGTAAGGCACATTCCGTCTTTCTCAATTTTCAGAACGGAGAAGTTTGAACGAAATTTTCTGTCCGGATTTCATTTTCGTTAGCGAATTTCGTCCGTATTTTCCGATTGGTTCAGTTTTTACCGCGTAACTTTTGATATGTTTCTGAGGTGCCGAGTGTGCACGTTTTGATTATTTCTGAAGATTTTTGACCGGGTATTTTTGATTCTGCGGGGTTTTATTTTGACTGTAATTTCTGATGAAGTCTGATATTGTCTGGGCAGTAGAATAAAAGTCTTGCAATGTTGTTGTGAACATTCTGTGATAATTTGGTAATGTTTGATTTTTAGGAATTTTGTGTAAATTCCGTATACTGCCGTTATACCGTCGGATTTTCGTACGATTTCTGAATTTGTCCGGATTTTTTCTGAATTGAATTAATTATTCGTATGCTATTGGGAGCCATAAGGGGAAGGTGCTGTAAGCACAAGGGAGTTATAAGGGGAAGTTCTAAGAAGTTCTATAAAGTTCTGAAATTTTGTTTATCAGTTCTGTTCTTGTGCTATGAGCACAATTGGGAGCTATAAGGGGAAGTTCTGGTGCTGTATGCACAAGGGAGCTATAAGGGGAAGTTCTGATGCTGTATGCACAAGGGAGATATAAGGGGAAGTTCTGAAATCTGGAAGGAAGATCGGTTCTGAAATATTTGTCTGATTTGATTTGATTCTGATACGATTCTGTTCTGTTCTGATTTGATCTGATCTGTATGATTTCTGTTCTGATTTGTTCGGTACGATTCTGTTGATCTAATTTCTGTTCGGATTTCTGTCTGATGTGTTTGATGTGGATTATGAAGATTTTGATTGGAGGTTTGATGTCTTGCTGAGCTGTGTAGCTCATCCTTATTTTCTGCGTGGTTTTCAGGTTCTGGGAAAGGGAAGGAAGTCTTGGACTAGGAGTTCAGAGTCTGATCCAGTATAGGTATTTTGTGTTGACCTCGTTTTTCACTCAAGCACTTTCGATTGATTTAATCGAGCATCGTCGAACCCAATTCGAGCTCGAATCGACCCGACTCGAGCCGGAGCGGACTCGAACATGTTTGATTAGACTCGATTAATTTGATTTTATCGCGACTTACTCGATTTGATTTAAATTGATATTTATTTTGGACTCAATTTCGTGCGATCGATTTCGTTACGCCATCTTGAACCAAAATTGACTTGAATCAAGTCAAGATTAGACTCGTGCTTAGCCCAGTCTTAGCCAATTTCAATTTGATTCAACCTAATTTAAGTCTGGTTTGAGCCATTTGACTTTCTGAGTTTTTTTTGAATTCATTCTCTATATCAGGGAATTTTCTCAACGGTTGCGATTGCACAAAATCGTCGTTTCAGCTGAAATCCTGCGTCACAGTGATCCTCTGCGATTCAGGCAGGCATTGAGCAGCGAACAAGCTTCTTTCGGGACGATTTCGAAAGCCGAAGCGAGACGACGAGAGGCGGGCTTCTTCTTTCGGCATAGAAGTTTTGTTTTACCCAAAACGAAGCTCCAGGCTTCGGCATTCTCCCGAACTCCCTCTCACTCTCGCCCACGCCTTCTCCCTCTCTTCTCAGCTCTCTCCCTCTCTCTCGGTTGGTTCGCTCAACTCGCTCCCCCTCTCTTGGTGCTCTCCGTTCGCAGACACCCCGAGCCCCCTTCCCTCTTGTTTTCGCACAAGCCCAGGAACAGCTCAAAGCTCCAGTCGCCCTCCTCCTGCCCCCGTCCGACTTCAGCCAGGACCGAACCTAGCAGCACCCCGACGCCTCCCTGCTCCCGTCCTCCCTTGTTCGCACCGGACATTAGCCACCGACCTTGCTGTAGGAGGGCGAACCTGTGGTCTTCCCGACGCCACCTCTACTCTCCGACCCATACTCGACGACAGCCATCTGAACTCCCGCTTTCGGCCTCGCACGCCCGAACCGGAGCTGAAGCCGCTTGAACTCCGGCTTCCCTTGTGCGACCCAAACCCGACGCCAGCTCTAGCGATCCCGACGTCGTTCTCTCCAAAACCGGATTCCTCATTGTGAGTACCCTTCCTCTTCCTCTCCTCCTCCTATTTCTTCTTCCTTCTTCTCCCACTCCTTCTCTTCTTCCCTTGCCCTCATTCTTTCCCTCATCCAGCTGGTGCTTCTTCATCAAGATGAAATGGAAATAGTTTGATTTCTGTTGAGATTAGCTTGGCAAAGCCATTCCATATCATCTCTTGTCGTTTAGTTTCATTGATATTCATTTGAGCATCAAGTGATGTTTTAGCTCTTGTTGAAATATGGAAATGGTTGTTGCTAGCTATGGATGATTTTATGTGTGCAAGAATGAACGATTACCATGTCAAATTTATTCTTGATTTGTGCCATGTCTCTTAGAGTTCTAGGTGTGAATGACTTGGGATCATAAGAGGCTATGTTGAGCTTATATCAAAGTGTGCATGTTAAGTGTTTGTGCTAATGCTTAATATGGCATTTTGAGTTTTTTTTTTATGCTAAAAAGATGTGGTAAGCTAAGAAGATCTTGTTCTTATTTCACTGTGGTATAAATCTATGGATTATTAGAGGTATTGCCATATCTTTGTTCACAAACATGTGTATCTTGTTACCATTCATGTTTAAGGCTTACTACTTGAATATCACATGTCTATATTTGGAGAAGTTTAGATCTAAAAGCTTATTTCAATAATTCTAATTAGAATTTTTTTTACTTTTGTCAAGGCTTATGTCACAATAATCTCAAAGTTGTCTTTTGGAAATAAATGGCATGGTCGCCAAACCTTTAGTTTTAGGCCTTCATTTGCTTAAATATGGTAGGCTAACTATTGTCTTTAAGGGAAATTTTGATATCTTGGTTAATGACTCATGAAGCTAATGTCACACTATGATGTTGTCTTCAAGCTCAAAAGCATTTGTGCAAGCCACCTGGAGCCATTAACATATCAACAACTGATAGGTATATGCAATCTCCAACAGTCATCACAACAAGCCGAAGATGCTTTATCTCACGGAATGGAAGCGTTACAGCTGAACCAAATGGCAATTTCCATAAGCAAGCTTGGAACACTTGAAAATTTCCTTCGACGGGCTGATCTTCTACGGCAGCAGACATTGCAGCAGATGCATCGAATATTGAGTACTTATCAGGCAGCTCGAACTCTTCTAAACGGGGCGACTGACATCGGGTGGAAGTATCCAGGTTGGTTTAGCCAACCAAACCCGCCTCCTTATTGTGGCAAATCAGACATCTTCCTATGAGCTTGAAGTTCCTCCTACCCCGGTAGTATGACGCCGGAGCTGAGCTGATTTATCCGATTAAACTTCAGGCTATATTAAGTCAATTTGGTAGTTATAGGGCTATATAGATGTAATGCTTTCTTTTGTTGGTGTAGCCTAGTATGTTGCTTCTTTTGGCTATAAATACCTTGCCATTGCTTGTAAGAAGGGAGTTTTTGGAAATTAATAAAATTAGAGTTTTACTCTTTGTGTGAATTCCTGTATCCTAAGAGTGATTCTTAGGTGGTGGATTCTTGCTCCAAGGAGTTCCTGGAGTGGAGACCGGCGACCGCCACCGGATCGTCGACGTGGATTCGTCGAGCCCCCTCCGGTCCGGTGTCAATTAGCCTGATGATGAACATTTTAAAATTGCTCACCTATATTATGTTAATGAGGATGTGAGAGAGGAGCTTTGTCATTTTGAGATGATATCCTTTGTTGGCCAGCTTCCACTAGTATTTGCATGATTCGTGCTTGTAGATCCTCCATCCTTCGAATTTGAGTCTCTAAGGAATAAGGTTCTCCCCTTGAGTGATATGACATCCATGATTGATAGATGAGAACATAGTTCGATATGTGTTGGAGCGAGAAGGTATATTTTTGGCGTTACTTTGATCAGCCATTGAAGAAGAATTATTGGGAATGTTTCCCACATAAGGCGCCAAACTGTTATGGACTGAGAAATATGTGGGGGTAAAGTGAAAAGAATACACGTCTTAATAATGCACTAAAGTTCAGGTCAGAAACTGTTTAAAGAGAAAACACCATGATTTTTACGTGAAAAATCCTGAAAAAGGGAAAAACCATGGTGCTCTGCCTAATTGAAATGGTTACACTAGAATTTGGATAGATTATAAATGTCAATCCATTCTCCAACCTGAGGAGAGAGAGAATACAATGTGTTGAAAAGTTCTACCAATTTTCAAACATATATTCTTGGTGTAAAAGTCTGGTGATAATCACGAAGAACTTCGACGATGGTTGAGAAGAACTCAAGTTGTGGTCGAGAATAACTTCGGCGGTGGTTGAGAAGAACTCCAGTGGTGGTTAAGAAGAACTTCAGCAATGGAGAAGAAATCCGGCGGTTGGGAAGAACGTCGGTGGCCGGGAAGAAATCCGATGGTGATCGACGACAAGGGAGCTCTCCAAGTTTTCTCCTTTTTTTCTCCTTTCTTCCCTCTCTTTTTCTTCCTTATATGAAGAAGTGGGGGTCTATTTATAATTTTTTTTAGAGTGGCATGGCTTGTAAAAATATATAAGATCAAGGTCTAGCTGGGAGTATTATAGTGGATGATTGATATCGACCCTCGAGCATTAATGTGCCTTAATGATATCCAAATTAAAAGATTTTGGGCTTGTTGAGCCGCTTGATTTGACTATAAGAACACCATATTCGGGAATCATTTGGTTATCCAATTAATGCTTTGACACTTGATTTGGTCTTGTTTGGGCTCGGATTGAACCGATTTTGATAACATTGGATTTGTCTTATTGAGTTGTTCTATTTGACTATAATTTTGTTGAAGTCAGAGCTTAGATGATTCTTATTTCAATTTTAAGAGTTACTTGCATGGATATGCCTCGAGATTCATGCCCGATCAAGTAATTTTTTTCTTAAATATCAAATATATTTTATAAAAATATTTGAACGCCAAAATCTAAGTTAAAAGAAATAAAAAAAAAATTGAAAAAAATCAAACTAATAATAAAAAGTTCATAATCGGCCACGACTTATTAAATTTTTATTTATTTTCTTTATTTTCCTTCCATTCAAATAAAAATTCTTTTAAAAATGTAAATAACGATAATACCGTTCATGTTCACAATTTACATTATTTTAGGATGTGATCTCTTTTATTTCCCAGCGACAGTGGGTAGGGCTTCGTTACTGCTCCGTTAAGGCGCCGTTAGAGATCATCCTTCTGCGACAAGCTTCGCCAGAACCCTCTGCCGCAAAATTTAGACCAGACCTCCTTCTCAAACTCGACGACCTCCGACGTCGGCGACCTCGCCGGCCAAGTATTGCCGATAACCATCATAACACTTCCTTGGGTACCGGTAAACTCCACAAACCCGTCGTCGGTGACCGATCCGCTCTTGGAGGATCCGCTGCTACAACCACTGTTGGATCCGGATCCGGATTCAAGAATCTCCGCCTTTTTCTTCGCCCGCCGGGTTAATATCCGCTTCTGAACCGCCCGGCAGCAGAGGCCTGCCGGAAGCCTCACGGCAGCGAGGAAAAAGAGGTTCGCTAGGCCGCACGGGCAGCAACAGAAGATGGCCGCGCACTCCGCCATCTTCCCTCCTGCGATCTCCGCGAATCGAACGTTTTTCCTCTTCGGATCCTTCAGGATCGCCGCCTGCTGCCGATTGCGGTGCGGAGGCGGCGGCGCTGTAGGCGCGATCGCTGGCGAGGAAATCCTGATCGCACTGCTATCGATTCGCTTGGTTTCATCAGGGCGATGACAGGAATTCCGCCCCATTCTCCACCTGCGATCAAACCCGCCGACCGGGGGCGATCATCCTTGAAGTCACGATTAGCAGTACATATTCTCTGCTTGGTTTCTTCTCACTTGCCTAAATATGGTGACGGGTAGCGGATCACCGGAAAAGGGGGAGGAATATTCCGGTGAACTGCGGAGAGCAAGTGGAGGCGAGAGAGAAAGATACGGCGGGGGCGCGATAAATCGGATTTGAACTCTTAATTAATAAGTTTTAGAGGATCGAAACCAGAATTTTTGACTAAAACTGTTTCTCTTTTGTTTAGAACTTTGATTAGGTTTTTATATTGTTAAGCAGACAAAGCGAGGAAGCAATTATCTTTGGGGTTTAACCTACTTAGTTTATTTTTAATAAAAAAAGACCAAATTAGAAATTTATTTATTAAAATAACCAATAATTGTTGCTCAATTTAGTATAAATGCCTAAATTAGGTGTTTCTGGATAACATAGATATATTACAATTTGGATTAAAAATATTGTGTAGCACACATGGATAAGATGGTAATATAATTAATAAAATACATAAATAATATAGTTTATTTTGGTCTATTGGTTGGGTGCTTCGGCTATCAACTAAGAGGTCTTGAGTTCGAGTCTTGCGTATGTGATGTGTGTGTGTGAGCTTGTCGTCAACATGAATTTAAAATACAATGCAGACATCGGGACGTTAAATGAAGGGACTAATGATATCCTAATCTTATATTTGGTCTGCACGACCATAAGAGAATGTTCAATTTGATCTATACGAAATGGCTCATAATTTTTTCAAAATAGTAATTTTACTCGGTGAAGTTTCGCAATGATTGGACAAATATCTTCATGTTGATGATTTTGATGTTAAAACATAAGAGGTAGTTATACATCACAAAAAAATCTTCTCCTTCAAGCATAAATTTCAAGGCAATATTAAGATAATAAATATTCAAAATTATATATATTTTTTAAATTTGATTTTAGGAAACTTAGAGTTAAACTGAACATCTTGACAAGGCAAACTCATCAACATTAATATTAATTTGATCCAATTTCAAATGTGCATAAATCAACCACTTTAAACATAATTAATTTGGCATATTAATTAGATGAACAAACAATCTTCAATTCTTGTGTGCATATAATCAAATAAGGCATCTCGACATGATAAGTGAAATGACCTTTAAAGAACTTAGTTTTGACATTATTAAGCCAATTAAATGCTAAAAAAATAGTATATGATAAAGGGGATCAATATTAGCTATTCGATAGTGTTCCAAACATTTGCAATATTTACAGAGCATGCAACTTTAAAATATTATAACTAGACCCTTACTTTCAATATGATGGCGACCATAAACTTAACATTCAATACATCATAGAGGATTGAAGAATTCTGGAGCTCCATGAGACCACTGCCTAATTGTCGTTGTTGGAAAACCACTTAGCTAATGTCATTGGACCACCACCCGACCACTGCTATTGAAAGAACACTCAATAATCACCATCGTACCACCAACCAATCATCTCATTTGGGCACCACCTTATTGCCTTTGCCAAACAACTATCTTACCACCACCCTTGGACTATCCCTTGACCATGGTTGTTAGACCATTACTAAATCATCAACAAATTACATCAAACTAACATCGTCTAACCACCGAAGGACCATAGGTTCTTCATCACTATCATCTGTCTATGGCCCTTTAATCGCTATTACTCGATTGTAATTGTCTGACCTCCATCACCCAACTTTAGTTCACCAACTATTGTCATGCTATTATGGTTGTTCGACAACCATCACTAGACTATGATCTCTCTATTAAGGTCTTATGACCATTATCATTCAACTATGGTCCTCTGACTACTATCACCTAACTACAACTTTCCAAATATCATTATCCGACTATGATCTTTAAACCAATATTATCTAACTACGATTCTCGAACCAGTATCGCTATCGCCCAACTATGATATCTTCCATTGTAGAGTCAATCCTCTATAGTTAATACAGATTACATTGTATCAACGCTTCGTCCAATTACAAGGAAGTACATCATTTGTTATGAACAACATATGAAAGGTTGGAAGATAACTTCATATTGATTAGGCTCCATGATTTATTTTTTTTTTTAGGGTTTCTCATATTAAAATTTTGATGTCTACTATATTCTTTTTTATTATATTTGTCTGTGCCAAGTCTTTGTAAAATCCAGGGCACAAAAATTCTCGCTATCACCAAGAATTTCTAACACACAATAATTCGATACCATTTATAATTTTTTTACATACCATAAATACTATTTTAATAATACTAGTTCAACTCATCTTTCATATATTGCTTAGCCAATTTGTAATCCTCCACCAGTCTTAGTGGGCTTAAATTAAACTTCCCTTATTGATATACCACATGGTCTTATAAGAGATAAATTATGATATTTTATTCAAAAGGAATTCTCTTTGAGATAAAATAATCAATTTACTCCTTATCATAACTTTTAAGAGTCTTCATCTCTAATTTATATAATGCTTAGTGGAATTTAAGTTGCTAATAATTGATCTGTATGATGAAACTTCTAACTCATATAAGCATATTGATCACTATAAGACTATTTGTGTATATTCAATAAATGTATGATGCAGTCTTTTACCAAGTCTTCTTTATAGTTCTTGAGCGATAAGCTTGTACTTGGTTATACTTAGGAGTGTCAAAATTGGGTTTTGGGTTGAATTCGAAACTAACCTCGGTTCAAATGAGTTGACCCAAACCCGACCTGATTTTGCAAACGAGTTGAAAACATGAACTCGGACCCGACCCGTAAGGTTACTGGGTCAACCCGACTCGTCACGGTTTTGTAAACACGGATTGTATCGACGGCTGATGGCGGGGCTCATGTCGATGGTGGCAGGCGAGGCCAGCATGGCACGTAAAAACTTTGGTGTCTTTTATGAACGCTACACCCTCTCACTTATCTGATTGTGTGCTGGATCTTCGTACAACGCTAAGACGTTAAACTATATATTTCTCTACCGCCGCGAATATTCCAGGACGCAACAATATTCATCTAAAAATTTTATAACTAGTTTAACTAAAATTTGATCTCGATATTATCATCTAATTTTTTTTCTGCGTTCAAAGAATATGCTGAAAGAATATTCCTATATGACAAATATTAGCTAATCTTGTAAGGGGACCACTCGATTGTTTCGAATTAGAAGACATAATTAATTTATTGTTAAGGGCTTCCTAACACACCAACTTGAATAATAAATATATAAGTTTTTGGCTTTAAGCAATCATTACTACTGTATTTTTGCGCATTTTATATTCATCATTCAAGCCTTGTTGGAGATAATTTTCTTATTATTTTATTTTTTAGATTGTAATTATAATTTCAGTTCAGCTATAATATTTTTATTATTTTAAGAATTTTTTGTGGTAGGAATTTGCTTTTTAAAATGAATTTTAAAAAAGCTACTCATCTTTATTAAAAATTATAGTCATCTCAAACAAATTCTAAGTTTTCATTTGAAGTAGTTATTTTATTGCTTTCTATAGCGATTTTTTAGCTCTTTTTTTGCTAATAAAGAAAAAGCTGTGGCTTAAAGCAGTCTCAAATGAAGCTTAAGGCTTCGTTTTGGACGGCTTTTTTATTGCTTTCTAAAACGGAGTTTTAGTACAAAAATAAAAAAAATTTGTACTAAAACTCCGTTTTAGAAAGCAGTAAAAAGCTGTCCCAAACGAAGCCTAAGTGTCTGTTTGGGACGGCTGCAGCATTTTTGAAAATTGGTTATGAAGTTATTGTGGACAAAATAATTTCTCTAATATAGTTGAAAAAAATAGTTTTTAACGGCTGAAATTTCTGAAAATTTGTGAAATAGCCGTTGCCAAATGGATTTTTTTTTTTGAAAAAACTAAACAATAAAAAAACTATCTCAAACATACCTTAAGGCTTCATTTGGGATGACTTTCTCATTGCTTTTAAAAGTAGATTTCTAGTAAAAAATTTCTTAATCTAAAAATTTTTATTCTAAAAAGTTGTTTTAAAAAGCAGTAATAAAACCGTTCCGAAAGAAGTCTAAGGCTTCGTTTGTGACGGCTTTTTTACCACTTCGTAAAATAACTTTTTAGTATGAAAAAATTTATTTTTATACTAAAAAGTTATTTCAAGAAGCAGTCTCCTCCGGAATAGTCTGATAATTATTTTAGGGCAACTGAGGGGACAAAGAGGCAGGAAGCACACTCTTCTTGTCTCCTAATAATTTTCTAATAAGAACCTCATAAATTCAGTAATTATATTTTTGTTTAATGGAAAATGCACAAATTGATCAACACCGCTGAATGTTGAATTTTTATTATATCTAGTGAACGTACGCAGAGGAACGTTTGGTTTTAGGCAAAAAAGCGCCTGTAAAATAAAAGTTCCTGAATGTTGGAGTGAATCTCTTAATTGTGATCATTTGTAACTAAAAATTTAATTTAGACCTCCCTAAAACATTAATTTACACCGTAGTGGTTGGCGGAGATCTTTTCTGTAAATCTCTCTCTCTCTATACACACGAAAAAACTGTTTGTAGAAAACTAACTCACTAAGAATTAGCCTTAGATAGAATCCTTATTTAATCTTTGTTTCTCTTAATAAGAGTTATGAAAAGCAATTCAATAATTTTTTTGCTGCATTTCAAAAAATTCACAACATTGAAAAAAGAGAAATTTTAAGATTTTAATGTGAAGATCATTGACATATATGATAAAAGAGGGTTACAATGAACACCACGGGGCTTAGCTTAGTTAAATTAAATCCATTGATGTACATCATTGTTCACAAATGATGCCCTTGCTCGTAATTATGGAATGTGTTAATACAATATAGCTAATATAAGGTGCATAGAACGTATTCTATGATGGAAATTGAAAGAGCTATGTGACATGAGAATTATCTTTAAGAGATTGTTTGTCGTTTATGTGTTAGTTCTCCTTTGTGGAGTGGAGAATAAAGACCTAAAAAAAATCCAGCTTAAATCTTAGTATTAATATAAGGAGTTAGATTTGTTGTTAACAATCTGTAATGACCTTATAAGCCATGGCATGCATTAATAAAGTTGGGGATGATGGGAGACATAGTCAACGACCTTTGTTCTAATTAGATAACAACGGTCATGAGATTGTAATGAAGTGACATCAATTAGATGGCCATGATCAGAGGACTATAATAGTCCAAGAGTGGGGAAGAGATCTTCTTCTTCCCAAAACTTCCCTTAAGATAAACTTTGAATCCGAAGGTACTAAGATGCAAGCTTGCCTGAGAAACCATGTGAAACCACCTCCACACTCACTTAAAACCCACAAGGATTTCTCCCTCTTAAACTCCACCATTTCCTCTCTCC